ATGATCCCTCATTCTCACAGAGCTTGGGAGACAGGCCAGTCCTCGCTTACAGACAGCCCCGAACCTGAAGCAAATACTCACCAGCAACCACACACCACACAACAAAAACACTAACTCAGGAACCTATCCTTGCAACAAAGCCCGATGCCAACTCTGTCCACATATTTATTCAAGTGACACCATCATAGGACCTAATCACATTAGCCACGCCATCAGGAGCTCGTTCACCTGTACATCTACCAATGTAAATTGGCCAAACCGGACAGTCGCTATATAAAAGAATAAATGGACACAAATCTGACATCAGGAATCATAACATTCAAAACCCGGTAGTAGAACACTTCAACCTCTCTGGCCACTCAGTAAAAGATTTAAGGGTGGCAATTTTGCATCAGAAAAGCTTCAAAAACAGACCCCAACGAGAAACTGCTGAGCTTGAACTAATATGCAAACTAGATACCATTAACTTGGGTTTGAATAGGGACTGGGAGTGGCTGGATCATTACACATATTGAATCTATTTCCTTAAGTTAAGTAACCTCATACCTTCTTGTCAACCGTCTAAATGGGCCATCTTGATTATCACTACAAAAGTTTTTTTTTCCTCCTGCTGCTAATAGCTCATCTTAACTAAATAGCGTCTCACAGTTTGTATACTAACTTCCAACTTATCTGTATGTATATATCTTACGATATGTTCCATTCTATGCATCCGATGAAGTGGGATGTAGCCCACGAAAGCTTATGCTCTAATAAATTTGTTAGTCTCTAAAGTGCCACAAATCCTCATTTTCTTTTTACAAGTACTCCTGTTCTTTTTAAAGATGAACTAACTTGCCCAAAGTCACAAAAGAAGTCAGTGGTGGGGCAGGAAACTGCAGCCAGAACTCCGGGCTTGTACCCTAACCACTAGACCATTGTTCTTCTCTAAGGATTAGATATAGTGTAATAGGGTCATAACCTCTTTTCCCAAACTAGACAACCCCTGTGATGTCTCTCACTTCCCCTTTCCTTTATCTTCTATTGCCGCGTCCCTTCCCCATCCAGAGACAAAACAGCCATTTTACTTTGGCTATGGCCTTTTCCTTGGCAACAGAATACAGAACTCTGGAGTTGTGCCCACCCTTACAGTGAAAGAGTTTTCCCATGTCCACTTTGGAAATCAGTGTGAAAATAAACCAAGCTATAATCTCTACTTGATGTAAATACGCAAAAGACCATTTAAATATCAGGGAGACAAGAACAGAAAAGAAAAAAGCTGATAGAGCCTGGAATTTTGTATGTGAACTAGCAGCAAATGCTGTGCATTTCAAGTTCAACCTAAGTCCCCACATAAAATATGCTTGTGGTCCAAGTCAATGGATACAGTACAGAAGTCTACAATGCAAATCACCAACTATACTTACAGACAACTATTACATTCACAAATCCTCATGAATCAACAGTATGCACCTTAATCATTGTTAAATAAAGGAGAGCCTCCCCTATGCTGGGTTTGACAATTACTACTTGTGTAATGAAGAGCCGAAAAAGTATTGTGGGAAAACTGATATTGCATCTGATTGAATGTATGTTTTGTTTTGGATGAGTTCATGTATGTGCTGCACATCCAAGAACAACCTTCACAAAGTGGCCACAAAAATGAAGAAAGAAGAAGAAATAATTTACTTTATCTAATACACTGGACTAAAGCCAACAAAATAGAGACTCAGAATCACCAGAAAAAAAGACCTCCAAATTCATTAGTGTTCTACCTATGATGTACAGTATTATGTTTAAATACTACCACACAAACATTCATGTATGTGTTTACAAGTTAGCCATTATTTTTAAAAAATGTTTATTAAATTAGTTAGTGGATTTCTTTAATTTCTTGCACGTAGTATCTGTGGACATGCTGACTTTTGGTTCACACAAGAGCACAAATGTCCCACCAAAGCTGTATGTTCCACAAGTAATTTTTTTAAAATATCAGAGCTTGTTTGGTAAAACTGTTCAAGGAGGCCAGAGTAAGTGACTACAAACTCCCTGAACTCTATTAATTCATTCTTGGTTCAAAGCAAAATATTTAATCATGGTGTTTGAGAATCATACTATCATTTTAAAAATCAGATTCCTTTCTTCCTTTTGACATTTTGTTTTATGAGTTTTATAGCTACAGACAAATATGAATTGCACTGCAAGACATTTGCTTTACATTTACTAACTGATTATACTGGGAAAAACAAAACGTATAAAGTATACATGTGTATCAACAGTGGAACACAAATGAAGTTTCTTTCTAAAATGGGAACTGATCCAAAGTCCATTGAAGTCAATGAAGCTGACTTCAGTGGGCTACAGATCAGCCCATAATAAACAGATACATTATCGTATTTAAAATCATGTATATACCTTTAACCGATTCTAAAAATAATACCACTAACTGTTGTTCCTCTCACTACATGAGGCAGTTAGTGATAACTAATGTTTTCAAACATTTTGCATCTTCTCTTCATTCTCAATTAGAAGGTTTAGAATCTTTCCGAATTTACTGATAGTGAGATAAATCCTGCATGCTTTGTTTACAGAAGTGATCCCACGTAAGTCAATGGGACCAACTACATAATTTGGTGCCTTGATTACTTAAATCCAGCAAGACCATTTTATATTACATTTCTCTTGGTTCAAACATCAATGTAGACGCTGACCACAGTCATCTTTAATTTCTAAATTTCAATTCTACAGTTTTGAGGTTGTTTCTTGAATTGACAAGCTATTTGAGCTTGCTCCTGATTGCCCCTGAAGTCACTGGCGATCTACTATAACTTCAATGGGAGCACAGAACAGTACAGTTGGAATAGCTCAAAGTCTAGTGCTGTGTTTCCTTTTTGGTTTCTAAATTAAATGACCAAGATAATATATGTATAACTAAACCAAAGTAAGTATATACAAGCCTTGATCTTTCTCCCTTTAATATCAATGGCAAACCTCCCATTGACTTCTGTGGTTTCGGACAGGGCCCTCCCTATGAATACATTCTTATTTCTTGCTAATGAAATGTCTTGTTTTTCCATTAGTCTCCCATTTGAGGCAAATCATGTGGCTTAAGAGTAAATATTTCTCACTGTCAAGAAAGCTACAGACAGGATATTTCTGCTAGTAAACAAAAGCTCACCAAAGGCTCAATCTTATAAGGCTCTGAACACCTCCTGCAAGGTGCTAAACAGCCTCAATGCCACTAAAAAAATCAATGGAAATGAGCACCCTAAGGGTCACATCCTGCTCACATCAAAGTCAATGAAATTTTTGCAACTGACTTCACTGGGAGCAAGACTGGGTCTCAATTCTCCGACAGCAATATATGGACAAATAAGAGAAGGTAAGGACTCAGCATCAGTCTACTTGTTTCTACTTAAGTCAAATGAGAGATTTCTCAATAGTTTCAACAAAATCAGGTCCCTATTTAACACCACATCACAACTAGTTGACAACAGGCCCAATCCTTAGTCAAGTGAGTAACCCTTACTCATGTGAGTAATCCCACTGAAACGCAGGACTACCTGTGTGAATACGGGTTACAGAGTTGGTCCAATATTCCTTCAATATTACTGATACTTTGAATACGATTACGACTAAATTAGATCCTACAAAAGAAAATTAAGAAACTGAGTTACTTTGAGCATGGTGAAGGTTTCCGTGAGTTAGTTTATACCATAGTTCATTATTCTAGCCTCTGTCTCCAAATCAAACTATAAAAGAAACATGCAAAATGAGTTTCTTTGGTGACATTATTTAAAATATCAAAATGTAAACTATGTGAACACTCTTGTACTCTATATCAAAGGCTTCAGGAACCACTCCCAACAAGGCATAACAGGCATTTTGCAATCTGAATTTATAAATCATTAAATGATTTAACTCCAAGAAATTATTGCAGCCAATCATTTTTCGGTATTAGGATGAGATTTGTCCCATCCAAAGTTTTATACTCAAAGGTATTGTTTTCTCTTCTGGAGCACTTTTCCAAGGCTATTACTTTAAAAAACAACATCTTTTTAAAAGCAATAACCTATTTGTCATTTTTACAGATGTACAAATTGCTGTATGCTTAATTCCTTCATACCGGCCTCATATACTATTTGACCATTTTCAATTCAATTGTGTAAATATCTGGAAAAAGAAAAGGAGTACTTGTGGCACCTTAGAGACTAACCAATAGTCTCTAAGGTGCCACAAGTACTCCTTTTCTTTTTGCGAATACAGACTAACACGGCTGTTACTCTGAAACCTGTAAATATTTGGTAAATTGATGTATTTTGTGCGCGCTATTCTTTATTTTGTAATCACGCCATATCTTCTGTCTAGTAAAAGGGGCCATTTGGCAATACTGACTGATAAAAATATCCATGCAGTTCGCACTCCAAGTTAAGAGATAATAATTCTACAAGTGTTTTATTTTGTATGGAAAGATGCCAAAAAAAGGAAAGAAAAAATACTATTGCATTTGGCATAGTATTGAGTTCCAAATTTTAAAGAAGCAGTTTTTGGATATGTACACTGTCATCAAAGCAATAACATACAGAATGGTGTTATCAAATTTTAAACATACACACAAAATTTTCCACATACTGATGCTCTCTTTACCTGCTTACTACGAGTAGCCATGAAATTTCTATCTATCTAAACATTAAGCTTTAAGGTCAGGACAGTGTCCTGCTCAGGGTAGTGCACTGCCCTATTATTTTACTGCATCATAGAGACCAGGGTACACATCAGCAAAAACTCCCGTCTCTTTCCTTGGCTTTCCTGTACAAGGGGGTACAGTGCAAAATGCAAAAAGCAAAAGAAGAAGCACCCACAAATCCCTTGGTCACTCGCTAGTAGACCCAGACTAACCCCATAGGTTAGGAAAAGGGCTCCCAGCTCAAGTGCTTAGGGGCTGGGGGTGGATCAGGAGCAGAATGCGAGACGCATGCATGGAAAGCTGCAGCTTGCAGCCTGGAGCCTTTGCAGCTCACCTGGGAGTTGCAGTTGCTGCTGCTGCAGCCCGGCCACAACCCGCTGCCATTTGTTGCTTGTGTTCTGAGGGAGCTGCAGCCCAGTCATTTAGAAACAGCCTTTCCTCATCATCATAGCCATCACCACCTGCTTCATGCTTCGTAGCAACTGGTCCTGGTAGGTTTCAAAGTGGAAAAATCCCAAGGCAACACAAACAGCTTCTTCCCATCTCTCTCTCTCTTTCTCTCTCTCTCTCCCCATGCACCATCCTCAGCTTCCACTGCCAGTTGCACGCGCCTCTCTCACTTCACTTTGCTCACTCATCGCCACTTGAATGCTGATCAGCTTGACACTCTGCAACCCGTGCGTGCCACCAGCTTGCAAAAAATGAAAGAAGACACGCCTTGAAAATGCTCCCTTTGCTCTAGCTCCAACGCCGGCGGTGGGGGGTACCCCTAGTTCCTGCAGCCTCCGCTCCTTTATTCAGCAACACCCCACCCTTTCAGCCCACCTACCGCCGTCGGGCCCTTCCGGGGAGTTTCCAGCCGCAGCCCCAGCTAGCTCCGGGAAGCAGCAGGCTCCGCTGAGGAGGGCTCCGGCCCGGCTGCGGCAGGGATGGCCGGGGTTCCCGCTGGAGAAGCGCGGCTGGCTAGTTCGGTGCCAGGCAGAGCGGCAGGCTGCACTAGTCGGCCAGCGGGTGTCTGACTCCACCTGCTCCGCGCCCCAGAGCCTTTCAGTCCAGGTGGTGGTGGGGGGAAGATGTGCCCTGAACACCCCCAGGACACGCTCTCCTGCCCCTCCCCCAGCCGCTGCTAGAAATGGGGGGAGGGGGCTGCCGCCCACCCACTCCCACAGCCGCGGGCTTCGCTCCTTTCCCCTCCAGCCCAACTCCCGGAGTTGCTCTCCGCGCCCCCACAGCCTCCCCCCCCCCCCCACTTAGACAGTCACAGAGCCCTGCTGTGGCCCCCGACGCAGCCCTCAGCATCCTCCCCAGCTCACTCGGGAGCAGCCCCGGCACCGAGGGTGCAGCCTCCCCGGGCTCGCCTGGCTGCTTCTGGTGAGGACCGATCGAGCCAGCCCCGGGTTCGCCTCCGCCTCCCCCAGAGTTGGGGCAGGGCCCGGCCACATCCAATTAAGAAATAAACCAAAAGCAGCAGCGAGGGGGGAAGCGACACCCCGGGGCCAGCAGGCGCAGCGAGCCGAGCCTGCCTGCAAAAGTTCCCGGAGTTGCAATGCGCCGGCCGGGAGCGGCCCCCCGCGCGCGCTGCGTGCCCGGGGCAGGGCAAAGGACTCTCGGGCCCCGGCGGGCAGCCGGCCAGTGCAACAGGCGGCGGCGGCGGCGGCGCCTTACCTCGCCTGAGGCGTCCGGTGCCTGCCCAGCCGCGGCTCCATAGGAGCGGCGGGGAACCGGGCTGCAAGGGCCGCAGCGCGGGCTGCCCCCGCGGCTCCCTCAGCCGGCCGAGGAGCGTGGCGGTGCGGGCAGCCGCCGCTCGGGCATCTTGGAGGGCGGGGAGCCGCCGCCGCCTGCGAGGGAGCGAGCGCTGCTGCAGAGCCCGGAGCCGGCGGGCAGGGAGGCGGCAGCGGCGATGGAGAGGAGCCTTCCTCACGGGCTGCGGGCGGGCTGCGGGCGGCACGCGCTGCCTGTCCCCGCCTGCCACATGCCAGCGCCCGGCTGGCTTGGGCGGGGGGGGCGAGGGTTTGCTGTGCCAGGCTCCGGGGGGATCGGGGTGCCAGGAGCGCCCCCTGCGGCTCCCCCTCCCCTGCGGGTCCCTAGGGCCGTGCCAGCCTCCGCCGCAGCCGGCCCCGGCTCAGGAGCGCCGGGAATCACCTCCTCCGTGTCCCCCCCTCCCCTCCCCGTGGGGAGGGGAAGGGTTTCCCCGCTAACCTCTCCCAGCCGTGCAAATGCGGAGTAACTCCACGAACGGCACTCGTGTAAAAACGGTGCAAGTGACTCCGAGCCGTGTTATTCATCCCCCATTCCCGCCCGGGATGATTTTCAGTCCTGGCTCCTGAAGATGCTTTGAAGTGCACCATGGCCCATCACACGGCATACCTTACCAAAACACTAGGCATTTTTTCCTCTTGTTCGCTGTCCCCCGTAAGCACTTTATTTCTCCCTGATTTCTGCAAATTATTACTCTGGACTGTGCAATATAAACCTCATATTTGCCATGTTTGTCACAGCCCGGTTGGGAATTTTGTTGTCTGGGGCTGGTTTATTGCATCTGCCTAGAAAAGACTGAGGAAAATGCTTGTTTTGTTTGTGTTTTTAAGTAAATAAAAACACAAACAAAACACAGAATGTTAAATAAAGTAAATGGAAAAGTTTATTGGTTTGGATACCTACATTTGCTTGCCTCTAGTTTAATTATATAATTGCATTAAATGTATGTAAGCCACTGTTAGGAGGCAGGATGCTGGAGTAGATACACCATTGCTATGCCAATTCCCATGTTCCTGCTGACTAGAGGACAAGATATCCCAGGTGTTAGACCATACAAACTGGATCTTCTCTCTTCCTTCATCTGGTTATTGTACAATTTAGAGCTCACTACTGCCAAAATCTTTATATGAGTTAGCTTTTCTCATGTGAGTAGTCCCTCTGAGTTATCTGAGAAAGGCTTTGCAGGATCAAGGCTTTAGATTGTAAATTCCTTCTGTCAAAAAACTATGGGACATAGGACTCTTCATAAGAGTAAAGTAAGCCTAATGAATTCCCCATGGGTCAGCTTTTATGTACACTAAAAGTAAATGATAAATAAGAGGGGCATTGATGGTAACTTTTCAGCTTGCATGAGCAATAAGCAATACATTCTTACATCTTCTTCACACTCTGTGCCTTCATTTATCCTTAAAAACTTGCCCAGTATAAAAATACTGGAATATGCATTCTCATTTAGAACTGTTAGATTTTGTCTACCTGATGTGCTTTGCTATCATTAAAACTAAAATGCTTTGGGGAATGGATTTCCTGGCCTATTCACAGAGGGCTATAGATCCTTTCAACCTTCTAGTCACCTCTTCAAGCTTTGTTCTAGGCAGGTAGTGCCCAAAAGTGATCATTTGATTGCACACAAAAAAAAGTTTAGGTGACTAAATGTTAAATGATTGTCAGATGTGCCAACTTTCAGTCATTTAGACGGAGGCTCACTGATTTTGGATTCGTTTTAAGACAAATCTTGAAAGTATAGAAATATCAATCAAAATTGAGAACAAACCAACCAAGAGCTTGCATACTGGGACAATTGCACCAAAATCCAACTTATGGTTACGCTTTCAGTCTCCAGGATATGGGCACCAGGACAAATGTGCAAAACACCTATTATGTATGTATTCAGTTGGAATGCCTGTTCATACTCACATCCCTGGTATTCATATCATAGACCAGTGATTCTCAACCAAGGGTCTGGGGTCCCCTGGGAGGGCCTGAGTAGGTTTCAGGCAGTCCACCAAGCAGGGCCAGTATTAGAATTGCTGTGGCCCAGGGCAGAAAGCTAAAACCCTACCTCATGGGGCTGAAGCCTGGAGTTCCAAGCCCTGCCACCCAAGGCTGAAACCAAAGCCTGAGGAATTTAGCTTCACAAGGCCCCCAATAAAAATCTAATCCTTCTAAGCCTACTTACTGTTGAACATCTTAAGCAGAAGTCCTTCATTGTAAAGAAACAAATACCTGCTCTTTGCTGGCTGAAAAGAAATAATGTTTCTTTGAATAGTAAAAACATAACTTACCAATGTGGCAGTGTCCCTTTAAAACTGAAATCCTGCCAGTCCACTGCAATCTAATTGACTTTTATGGTTTTGAAAAAAAAAATGAAGTGATGACACCTGATCCTGCAAAATTTGACACACAAGATTAGCACTCACTCATACAATTAATCCAGTCATTTGAATGGGTTTTATTTGCATGAGTAAGGACTTTTCACATGAGTCAAAATGGTCGATAATAAATTAATTAGTTCTGCTTCTTTTGAAATTTCAATTCAGTGAAAATGTTCTGACTAGCTCTACATGAGTATAAGGTTTCTCCGGGTTGCACTCCAGGACTTGCTCCTGAGAGGAGCTGAGCATTGTAACTTGAGTTGAAGTTGATGAGCATTCAGCACCTCTAGAGGAAAAAAAAAAAAAGTAATTTGGGGAAATTACTACAGAGTAAGCACCAGAGCTAGCTGCTGCTAAAAATATCATATGGATTTTTAGTAGTTAAATATGGCCCAGGTCATGATCCCTCCTTTGGCTCTGTATGGAGTAGATGGAATGTGCTGTTCCTTTAGGCAGAAGAAAATACTTAATTTTAAGAACATGATCCTCAAGTTGAGCCTCTTGGGAGATTTAGTTCATTAGCTCATCAGCTAGTATGTTAATTTTATGCCATTGTTAGAGGTGAAAGGATTAATCCTCTATTAAAAAGAATACAAGTTTAATGGATAAGGAGAAGGTCATTTGGCTTCTCTCAGCACAGGAAGAAGCTGTAATACATGCTGACTTTTGCAAACAACTATAAAAATTAGAGAGGATAAAATAATAGATGATGCCAGATGGTTCTTTAACTTACCTCATAAAATAATTTTGATTGCTGTTTATAAATATTCAAGGACCCAATCCTGCAAACCCTTACTCCGATGAGTAAACTTTGCTCATGTAAATACTTCACATCAACAGGACTACATGGTATTAAGGATTTTTCATGTGAATATGGGACTGCTGGATTGGTCCTTCAAAATTTATAAATATTAACCAAAATTTCACAGGGTCAATTAAGGAGCCATCTAGTACAATCTATTTCTGTTAGCCTCCCAAAAATTCATAGCTATGTGTGCAGAAGTCAGCAAATAATACAGCTTCTTCCTGTGCTAAGAGAAGCCAAATGACCTTCTCTTTATTCATTAATTTATATTCATTTTTAATAGAGGATTAATCTTTTCACTTCAAACAATGGCATAAAATTCATATTCTCGCTGATGCACTAATGAACTGAATCTTCCAACTGGCTCTAGGAACACGTTCTCAAGTACTTAGTAGTAATACCTCTTCTGCTTGAGGCCAAGATTGGGGCTCTTATGCCCCAATCCTGTACAGGTGGCAATGCAAAGTCACAGTGTTCCAGGAGGGGGCACCACAGTGATTTTGCCTAAGATGGGCACAAAAGGGTTCGATCCTACACTCCAGCGTCGGGTGCCTAAATCACCAGGTGTGGTGCCACTGCAATCTATTAAATTGCCACTTGGCTTCCGCCTAACCCTGTAGGTGCCTAAACTCACTCAGCACCTAACATTCCATTGTAACAGTTCCCTAGGGGCCTAAGTTTTTAGGCCCGGGGGCACAGGCAGTGCTGCCTCACTCTAAATGTCCAGACTCCTGTTTCCTACCTAAGCCCCAGATTGATCCACCAACTGGGAGAAGATAGGCATTCAGCTGCCTAAGTCATTTGTAGGCTGCTAGGCCTACCTGATCAGGCCCCAGTCAAAATCTGTCCAAAGGAGGAGCTGACGCTGCCCAGATAACTTCTAGCCTTTTAATAAGTCCCTTCTACCATTCTGGCAGAGAGGGTGGAATTGAACTTTGGTGTCTCACATCCCAGGCAAGAGGTCTAACCATAGGTCTAATAATGTGGACGGTGGCACCACCTCCTCTTACTCCTCCAGTCATTTTGTGTAGAGCAAGGCAGGCACCTAAGTCATTCCTGGAAGAAGCAGCTTTGCCAATTCTCCAGGTAGCAGGTTCCCATTTGTGGATCACACACAGACATAGATGCCTCCCTGCAGCCTGGACTTATGCACCTATCTCCATGAGAGGGGGCTTAGAACACACCTCTGTCATCAGCATCTCTCATTGGCTAGCTTAGTGGCTCCATGGCTAGCATGCTGGTTTTTGTGGATCCTATTCTAAGGCACCCATCTTTCCCCATTCACTAACCAGGCTTTGTGGATCACAGTGTTGTACCTGTGATTGTCTAGGTACCTAAAAGTTAAGTGCTATGACGCTCAGCATTGTAACTGCTAAGTTCTTTAATGGCTCCCACCCAATATCCCCAGGTGCTGCTTCATTTCCTAGGGCCCTGGCCTAAAAGAACAACAGACTCCATCTGCTCCATGCAGAGCCATTAGAGCAAGAACCACAGAACATTGTAATACTGGAATGCTAAAACTCCTTCTAACACTTTTAATGACAAGTAGTTATGGTGCCTGCATTGTAGCCATTTCCCCAAATAAAATGACTTGGGTGTCTGCTCCCGAGAGCTGTTCTCTAACTAGGCTCTTAACTCACAACTATAATCATGGTATCTGAGCATTCGTTTCCCTGGGAGCTACAAGTGCTCCACACTTCTCAGGACCAAACCGTTGGGCACCAACTTTCAAAACCATTCCTCTCATGTGGAGATAATCAGAAAATGTTCAACCAATTGAAGTTTTTCCCATAAAGGAGCAATAAAAATTCCCTTGTAATATTGTCCATTTCCTAACCAGCTGTATTCAAGTGAGTGAGATTAATCCTATTGATGTTAGCAGGGGCCAGTCCTCAGATGGTGTAAGTCCTAATGGAGCTACGATAATTAACACCAACTGAGTTTCTGCCCCAGTAAGATTAATTTTGAACAAAATCCACCCTTGCAGAAGTCAGCACAAATCATCAACACCACTTAAGTCTCACTTACACCTTGTGCTGGGCTTTTGAACATGGGTGGATTCAACTCTGACTTACTAAGGACTGGGCTACTCATATAAGGGGTTATAGGATGGGGCCCTAAATAATGTTTCTTTCCAATGTATCATTT